GACCAAAACTCAAAGCACACAACCCCTCAGTGGCTGGGAATGGATCAGAGAGCTCACAAAGCTCCAGGGAGAGCTAAAACTCCCAGTGCCTGGAGGAAATAAAGGGGCAAGGGGAGGCAACTTTCCTAACAGCAGCAGTGAATATGTTGTGCTACACTCAGAGGGCACATTTCTCTGGGACTTTTTTTTGGAGTTCCCAGTTGCACATGACATGATATGTGCTGTTGATGAATCGATGAATGTGTAACAACAACAAAACAGTAAAATCAGGAATTTCCTGTAAGTATGAAAAGACACCTTTAGGGTTTTACAGCATCACCTTTGGACAGGAGAATTGCAAAGCTCTGGTGTCTTTCAAACTCGTGGAGTCCTTTAGATCCACATACATCTCTTCAGCATTTTGACCTAATCATGTTATTAATTGCTTGTTTCAAGAGGAAGAACTCCCTTAATTTGTGTTCAAGATTAAAATGTCCACCTCTGAGAAATTATTGGTGTGATTTTGATGAGAAAAGACCATGAACTGGGTTAGCAAATTAGATCCCTTGCCATGGTGACCGCTGAGATAAGGGAGAATGTTTTAGAATCCAGATGAGCTTCACCACCTGAAGTGCAGCTGTGTTGTTAAACTTCTGCACTTGGTTTAATTTTGGACAGTTTTGGACCATTCAAACCTGACTCAGACTTCACCTCTGTTGCTTGGCAGCAATGGTATCTGCCAGGTTTGGGTAGCCCTGTCTGGGCATATCAACCCAGTTCAGTTCTTCTACCAACAACAGAGTTGGAGACCTTCTTGTTCAGTCAACTTCTTGGGATTACAGGTTGGAGGCAGGGGACTGCATTAGTTAATATGCACATTTGGGGGATTCACAGGGTGTATTTCCCCATATAGATCATAATGATAAATATAAAACTATTGTCAGAAATACCTATGTTGAATCTTAATTAGAATCTGTGCACCCTGGCTGCAGCCTGTGATGTTTCTATATTCAATACATTGATTTTTAAGTGTGGCCAATCCAAAACAGCTTTGCAATCCCCAGGAGAGTTCATTAAGAGCCTTGTGCAATATGGTACGTGTCCCTTATTCTCCTTTTCTAAGTTACCATGTCCCCTTACAATAACTTTACCAAATGAGCCACTTAAGAGTACATTTTAAGGATGTTTTCAGTTTAATTATCACTGTTGAAAGACGTGTCTCCATTAGCTTTGTGCATACACGGCAAAGAAAACTTAATCATTGACCGATTCATGGTTTATGGAAGTGCTTCTATACCCAGCTCACTGCATTCAGATTAGGTGTCCTTTCTAATAGGGCCAGGAGGTAAAATCCTTAAAACTAGCTCAGGAATCCCAAGGCAGAGCTGCTCCATTTCCATAAACTGGGGTTCCACTCTCAAAGATTTCACCATCAGTAACTTCCCAACATGCAGCTATGCTTTTTTTCTCCCGCGTTTCCCGCTCCTCCTGCTCCTTGGACGTGTTTTCTCTTTCCAGGCCTCAGCGAGGGTGTTCCTGTGCCCAGCAATCCTGGCTGGCACACATCAAAAGATGCAGTTTCCTTTGAGAGCCGCACTGGTGTGCAGTTGTGTGCATTTCACTGCCATTGTGTGCTTCTCCACCAAGGAAAAAACAGAGCTCTTCTATCCCTGAGCACAAAGAACAAACTGTTGTCGGGGTGGGGGGGGGAAGGGGAGGAATATCTACAAACCTGTAAATCTTTCTCCTTCTCCTGTTTATTCTTCGTGCCATTCAAGCCCATTTAGCGAAGGACCAATTAACTCCAGACCGATGGCACATTCTGAGGGGCCAGATCTCTCCTGTCAGAGATGACACAGCCAAATTTCCAAATACTTTCTGGTTGAACGCAGCATTTGCTTTTCCTTGCTCTTTGGTTCATCGTTCCCAGCCTGTTACTCCAGCTACCAAACAAAGTGACATTCTCCCTAATTTTCTCTCCATTTTCTCATCAGCAATATTGTAAAATGTAGGGAAGATGTGTACCAAATCCAATGCACTGTGCATCCAGTTTTTTTATTATTGTGAGTCAAACTGTTTAGAGGTATTTGTCCTTCAGTAATTGTTCTGCCAGCTGCACATGGCACATTGCTGCATACAGAAATACACAGGAAGCAGGAGTTTTACAGATTACTCTCCTAGGGTAAAAACATGCTGCAAAGGTAATAATTTGTAAAGTAACTCTAATCAGTGAAGAAAGCACGCTTTTGACTATGATATGGTATCCACTAAGTTAAAACCCAATACAAACCGGGGGGGAAATTCCAATATTAGATCTGAATTATTTCACCATAACATAGTGTTGTAATGAACATATCTATGGTATGTGGTTGCATTTTATATCTTGAAGTTTATAACTTGGAATTTAGGAGAACTCTCAGTGCAGTGACTCCATGACCAATAAAATTTTGCTCTTATATCGACAGTTTGAAATGCAATTGTGTTAATAGCTTTATTTTGATATGCCAGTCTGAAGTGAAGGAACCTTCTATGTTGTGTCAAGTGGCAGGTCTGCAAAGAAACTGTGCATTAACCCGATTATACAGTGCTAGGATTAGGTACTGCATGGGCTTGTGTTCTTACATAAATAATGTATATCCAAGAAGTGAGTTAAAACACCGTTCAGATGAGCCCTAAAAGGTCAGGTTGGGAAACTGCAACAATCTTTTTTTTTTTTTTTTTTTTTTTTTTTTTTTTTTTTTTTTTTTTTTTTTTTTTTTTTTTTTTTTTTTTTTTGGTGATTCTTCTGCTTCCCTTCTCAGTTCTTTGTTTTCACAGTCTTAGGTGGGAGTTTTGCCCCGGAACTGTCAATGGGCACAAGATGAACCTGTATCATCTACTCCTTGTAATGTTTGCAGCTCTCAACAGGAGTCAGTGAAATGTTTTCTTTACTGGTGCTTCTCTGAGCCTCATTAAAGGGGGGAGATCCTGTGGTCTGGAAGTAGGAAAGAATCTGGTGTGTCCCAGACAATTTGCAGTATCATCAGTAACTCTGGGCCATGTTTATTAACCAGTGAAAAACAACATTAAAATTAGATTTTTTTTTTTTATGGGTCACAAATGAGTAAAGCAGTAGGAACATAATGCCTCTAAAAACACAGAGAAATATTTACCACTCAAATGTCTGAAGAAATTAGCAGTGATAAAAAGGAAATACCCATAACGGGAAAGCAAAACAGCCCTGAAAAACAAGTAGTCTTTAAAATTTGCCTGGATGTTTTTCTGGATTTCCCAGCTCCGACCTTTTTTGCTGGGGAGGGGGGGGGAGGGAAAGAATAATGTAAATGCCAAAAAAAAGAGTGGGACAAAAAGTAAGCTTTGTATCCTATCTATGAGAATCAGACGGTGTGTGTCATGCTAGTTTTTACAGTCACAGTCTACAGTCTCCCACTGATTAAAATGCAATTTGACAGTAGCACAATATAGAGGTTTAACTGACAGCACACACAGCACATTTGCGAGTCATAACGCCACAGTTTAATGACTGACGCATGTGGGAAGCTAATTCGCCCTCCTTTTTTTTTTTTTTTTTTTTTCTTGAATGGGATAAATGAGCATCCAGCTAATACCGATCGTGAATTCAAGCCATGTGACAAAAATTGATGCTACAGACCCTGTTCTTGTTTTGCATATTCTGCAAATTGAGCCGCAGGAAAAGAGCCGGTTTTGTACACACATCCGGAGAGAAAGTTCATTCTGCTTTCTGACACATCCACCAACTGCAGCTGAATGTATCCAGCTTGCTGCTGCTGTGTTCACAAACTAATTACCCTTTCTCTGTTAAATAGCCTAAGAATTACAAACTGTATGCCTGTTTTGAGAAAAAGTACAGGTTGAACAAGCAGACGTAGTATAAATAAAATATTTATATAAAAATAGTCTCTTACAAAATATACTCTCTTATCCTATGCTTGATTTTTTCCAAAAGATGGAAGTTTGTCTGGATTTTCTTATTTTTAGACGTATTCCAAACATGATTTTATTAATGCTTCTTTCTTTAATCGAAGGAAAAAAAAAAAAAAAAGAACACCAACAAAACAAAAACCACAAAACCTGGTAAAGATTTGTAACCCCTACCACTCGACTTTTGTTCCAGACAACTAGCAGCAAACAGGAGAAAACAAACAAACAAACAAACAAAAAACCCCAAAACAACAGTGTTTGTGTATGTACACATATATAAAGACGCCAGCTTTTGTACTTAAACACCTAGTACTGTAGAACATATCCTGCAAGTCCAACTAATAGAAATATCCTAGTTAAGAATAATATGTACAGCTCCAGTCCTTTCCTTGCTGTTCCTACAAAATTATTCCACAAAGAAAGCCAGCTACCTACTTTAATTGCAGAATAGTTCCCCGAAGGTTGGTAGAGTTCTTTTTTTAATTAAATAAATTAATATTAGTTTTATCTGAATAAATTGTTAAATATTGCTATTATTATGCCCGAGTGTCCCAAATCCCTGTGCTAAAATCTGCAGCACACACACACACACACACACGAAAAAGGCAGGTAAAGCAGTGTCTACAGAAACCTTCAACAGTTCTACTCGCTGTGGCAAGGGGGATGAAGTGGAAAGATGAGCAAGAAGCTTTTTCACGAGTGTAGAAGCCAAAACCTGTGTCATCCACACGCTCACACGGGCCGTTCACGGTGGGGCTCTGTCCATCCCATCCCGTGCACAGCCCTTTGGGGGGGGCGGGGGGGGGCGTTTCTCCCCTTTCCCTCCCTGCTCCTTATCTTTGACCACCTCTTTTCCAAACCAGGAGTCAGTTGCCACCCTCAGAGGTTTCTCCCCGACCGCTGTGTCGGCACAAGGCAGTCAGTGCTTCCTCCTTTGGAGGTGCAGGCTAACCGAGATGATCTTTTACTCTCTCTCCCCCGTGTGTCAGGTGGCTCAGGGTGGGGCTTGTTTGTTTTTTCCTTTCTTGGCTGACTTTAGGAGTCTGAAATGTGTCTCCACACAAGCAATGGAAGAGGGGGCTCCGTCCGCCAGCGTCTCCTCTGGGCGAGCAGGTCCCCCCTGCAGCCCCGTGCAGGTACATCGAGCGCATGTGCAAAGGTATCCGCGGCCAGGGCCGTGCCCCACGTGCTCACTTACAGGTATAGACCTCTGTTCTCTCGCTGCACGTGTTGCACTTGACGTAGCAGCACCAGTGGAACTTGCAGTTGCACTGCCACACCCGCGAGTACTGGTGGGTGTTGTACCCCCGGCCGCAGCACATCAGGTCGCAGCCGTTGGACTGCTGGGCCGTCTTGTTGCACATCCTGCCCTGCGTGCCCACGCTGCCCGTGACGGGGTCTTCTTCACAATAGTTGGGGGATTTCTCTATGTACACCAAGTCCGTGTCCATGGGTTTGCGGTAGGAAAGGGGCTTCTTGATTTTGAGGAAGGTCGGGCGCTTGTTGCGACTCGCCCGCACGGGCTCCACCTGAACGGCCTCGTTGTACTTGTCCTTCAGGATGTAGCCCAGCTCCCGGAATTTGGGCAGGGTTGTCCAGCATGTTTTAGTGGTACAGGATCCCGAGACCCCATGGCACTTGCACTCTAACTTCATGTTTTCCTCCAGAATCTGTGTTAGAAGAACAAAGAATGGCGTGTTAACACAAGCAGGGGTATTGGATGGATGTTGGGTGACAGGCAGGGATGGGTTGGCTCTCCGGTAGGAGCTGCCACCAGACACAGGTCACATTCCCACCAAAGCTGTGGGTTTTGCTTGCCTGGACAGGCTGTTGTCCCAGGCAGCAAACGCTCATCAGTATCAACCAGCCTGTGCAGCTGATTCCCCATTTGCACTTCGAGTTAATCAGGGAGGATAACTCTGCCTAATTTCATAGCCCAGGTCCCAAAGGCAAGATGGGACCTTCCTTAACCACAGCTTTTTTTCAGTACGATTGTACAGTGCTTCAGATTTATCTGTTCTTGCAGTGTTTGGCATATGGCAGCGAAATTAGGAGCTGGCAGAAAATCACACCTTCACGTGAACTGCCACGTGCAGAATCCTCTCAGAGTCCAACAACAGATGCCAGAACCTGACTTTTGTAAACAGAGGTTCAACAATAAACTGCATCTCAGTTCTTGCACCTCAGAATGACACGGGCTGGTGCAAGAGATGAACAAGCAGATAATCTATCAGTGCTTGTCCTCCTGTAGGTCTCAGATTAATCAACATATAGAGCAGATTATTATTTAGTCGTATAGGCCTCGTCTGTTCTAAATGGTGCAAGTTAATGCTCCACTTTGGAAAGCTAAGCATTATTTTGATACACCACAGTCCAAGCACACTTGGAGGGTTTGAAGTATTTTGCCTCCTGTCACATGGATAACAGAGCAAACAAATGTCTCAATTACTTTGCAAGAAAACAAATTTTGAATTAGAGTATAAAGGGTAAGAGTAAAGGAATCAGTTTCATGTTTTGTCATCAATTCTAGTTTAAAAATATCTATCTCTTTAATGCTGTAAAAGCATCTTAAACACCTCAGCATCGTGGCTTGCTCCACCCTGTCTCATGCTCCCTTCTTTGTAGGGGTCTCTCATGGTTATGCCAGAGTTGTCACTACTTTCCTTTTGAAGATTACAAGCTTCATCTTCCACCTTCACATCCCTTGAAACTCTGCCCCTGTATCTTCTCCCTCCTGCTGTTTTGCCAGCCCAGGCTTTGCCAAATAAAGCTGGAGAGCAGCTCAGTCCCTGCTCTGTCCTGAGCCCCACAGCTGACCTCACTCAGCAGCAACACTGGGTTAACACCAGCAAACATACCTGATTCCAGCAATTAATTTCCCACTGGTCTTTACTTGAAAGAGACCATAATAATTTTGATGATGAAATTCTGCCTAACCTGGCAGAGACAAGCAGTGGAAAGCCCAGCCAGAGGGATTATCAGGGTTCAGGGAGTGGCCACATAATTTTTCCCCTGAGACAACCCAGCTGATCCGTGCAGATCCAAACCTGGGCAGCCTGGAGGGCTGGAGGGAGGTCAGTGATATGGAAATTTGAATTAACCCTTTTTTTTATTGTTGGAAAACTCACCATGCTGACTCAAACACTGGCCTTTCTCAGCAGAAAACAGGAGAGCCTTCGCTGAGGAAGCTGATTTTCCTCATACCTTTTGGTCTTGAGGCCGTTCCTGTGTCACCTTGGCACAGAAACTGCTGTTGCCTGACCTTGGGGTAATTTGTAGCTGCTTCTTTGCTCCCTGCTCTTCCTCTGCCCACTTTTGATGAGCAGGGGGATTTTAAGGTATTAAAACCACAGGCTGAGAGAGCTGGGGCTGTTCAGCCTGGAGAAGAAAAAGCTCCAGGGAAACCTTGTGGCAACTTTCCAATACCCAAAGGGGGAGAGGAAATTTTTACAGGGGCAGGTAGTGATAGGACAGGGGGGAGTGGCTTTAAACTGAAAGAGAGTATTTTTGGGTGGGATATGGGGAAGAAATTCTTCCCTGTGAGGGTGGGCAGGCCCTGGCACAGGGTGCCCAGAGAAGCTGTGGCTGCCCCATCCTTGGAAGTGTCCAAGGCCAGAACTTGGAGCAACCTGGGCTAGTGGAAGGTGTCCCTGCCCATGGCAGGGGGATGGAACAAGGTGACTTTTAAGGTCTCTTCCAACCCAAACCGTTCCGTGATTCCATGATTTTCTGGTTCTGTGGAATAGCTTTCTTTTAACTTTAGTCTATGAGCAAGTTGTCCCCACGTGTGGTCTGAAAGCAGGATTCAAAACCCTAGAAAGCACAGGTCCAATACTCTGACAGTTGTGAACTTTGCAGGTGCCAGGTCACACTTTGTGCTTCTGGTTTTCAATTAGTTTCTCATGCAAACTATCTAATGACTGCCCTAAAACTGAGATGTGAGAAATTTTTCTATTCAGATCTACATCTCAAGCTTGCAGTTCTGCTCAAGCCTTTGGCTTTATCTTGTTATCTTGAGTTTCTCTCTCAGCCACTGCATACTTCTTTTATTGCTCACTCATTCATAAGGTAGTGCACTTCGAAGACAGATGAGGAGATCTATGAGGAAAAGGAGTGAGAGCACAGAAACCGGAAAAATAACATAAATTCTTTTAGCCTCATTTGTACCTTTTTAAAAGCTTTTTTTTTTTTTTTTTTTTAATTTGAAACTAGCCAGGATACATTTCTCAGCCCTAATTCAATCACTGTTCTTGCAGAATTGCCTGGCCTTATATCCTGGTACGATGTTCAAACTTGCAACAAAATATTTCTAGCTCGCCCTGCCATGGGGAGGATCCGCCAAACTGACTCGAAACATTAATACAAAATACATCATGTGTCATCTATCCAGGCAGGGTGGTGGTTTTTTTGGTTTTTTTTTTTTTTTTCTTTTTTTTTCCTCAAGTGTAGTTAAGCAGCCTAAATTGCCTGTTGGTTTCTTTCATTAACATCCCGTTCTCGCAGCCGGCGAGCTCGGAGGGATGGAGCGGAAAGAGCTGAGCCAGCGGCTGGAGCGCACCGTGTCATGTGCTGGTCCCCTGCTCGGGGGGGATGCAATGCCAAACACAACCAGCTGCTGCTTCCCGGCTCCCAGCTAAGGATGAGGGGGCGCGGGCAGCCAGGATAAAAAAAGATCTCCTTCTGTCTGAGCAGGAGGAGCTCGTGCAACACCCAAGTGCCCAGGGGTCCTTCCTGGAGGTCCGAAAATGCTTGGAGGGAGATGGGGAGGAGCAGAGGGACGAGAAGGAGTTTCGTCTTTTAACTCCGCGCTGCGTTTATTGTTCAGCTTGTCGTTTGCTATTTTCGTATTTTCCTAAAGTTTAACTGGCTGCCCCTCCCTTTCTCTCTGCGCTTGTGGGAGATGCACTTCCAACAGGCTGTGCTAAAATCTCTCCATCACATCTGCCCCATTTAGGTCCCCTGCACTCTGCAGATGGGCTTTCCCTTCCAGATCTGCCTCCTGCCTTTGGCTCACAACCCCTTTTTTGGGGTTTTGTTGGTTCTGTTCTTGCACACATACCCCCCCTCACTGGTGCTGTCTTTCAATACCACTTTCTGCAAATTCAGCTGGAGATGAATTGACTCTCCAGCCTTCAGAGAGCAGGCTACATGGAGCTTGAACTGCCTGTCCTCAGCAAAAGCAAAGGCCTGCAACGGGTAGTTTTATTGTACTGGGATATCAGGCGCTTGGGCTACTTGTTTTGCAATAAAATATGTGGATGGTGGCATTTCTATACTGTTCTATTATTCCAGTGTCCTCTGATAAATCGATGCCTTCATAGATTCAGGAAGAGAGTTGCAAAGAAAAAGAAAAAAAATAAAATAGGGGATCCTTTGGGTAGGGCCAGCAGGCTTTGGTCTTTCCTTTGGTTTCTGTGAAGCAAAAGCAGTGTCCTACCCCTTAAAAACTTGGTCTGTGTTAAAAACAGCAAGTGTTCTTGACCTTTCATGATCAGGATTTGTCTCTTTGAAGGAATTATCCAGCAGCTCATACTTTTTACGTCAGATTAAAACTTTATATATGTTACAGACTGACTTTTCCTAAATGTAAGAGCCTGAAGAGCACAAAATTTAAATCCTAGATCCTCTGTTTCTTACCAAATGATCATATCCAGCTCCATCAGTAAATCTGTATGCACCAGTGAATGCTCTGAACTGGATTAAACGTGAACAAAGAGCTGGAGTTCTTTTAGCTTTGTCCACTTTTTCTTTGAGCTCCTACAGTAAACTGTCAGTACTTGTTTCTCTCTCTCCCCCCCTTGCCATTAGCCTCTGGGAAATAGTTTGTGTGAAGAGAACTCGCTGGCTCTCTCTCCTGATGTTATCTTCAGATGCAGTACCTTTGGGCACTGCCATTAGGAGCTTAACATGTTTTTTCTTCACCTTCAGTTGTGCAGGGAATGCGCAGGGTTGGTCATGTGAGGGTGGCAAAGTGAGGCTCTGGAAAATGCTGCATGGGCTGGGTCCAGCAGGGTGGTCCTGCCCTGGGCAGGGTGCTGGGCCCCTGGCTGGGCTGGCTCAGTGAAACCAGCAGGAATTGCTGGCTGGTGGGACTTGGGGCTGGAGTGGCTTTGGCTCACAGGGGCGGCTGCTGCGGGAATTGTGCCCTCTGGGTGGTGGGACAGGAGCTGGGGGAGCTCAGGGGGCAGGGAATGGCTGGAGCTGTGTCAGGGCAGGCTCAGGGTGGATCTCAGGCAAAGGTTCTTCCCCCAGAGGGTGGTTGGCACTGAACAGGCTCCCCAGGGCAGTGGGCACAGCCCCAAGGCTGCCAGAGCTGCAGGAGGGTTTGGATGATGCTCTGGGGCACAGGGGGTGAATCCTGGGGCTGGGTCTGTGCAGGGCTGAGGGTTGGACTGGATGATCCTTGGGAGTCCTTTCCAATTTGGTATATTCTGGGATCCTGTGACCCTCCTGCAGTCGTTTTTCCCAGCTCAGTGTCTCTGTTCCATAAGTTACTCAGTGGTGTGTCCTGCCCTGGATTTCCAGCATCCAAAATCAGCTGCCTTTCCAAATGCATCTGCCAGGGCAGCCTGGGGCCCCTCATGCCCAGTGGGGTCAGGTTGTGCACAGCCCTGGGTTTGTTCACCAGGACTCCACAGCCCTCGATGCCAAAGCTGTCCTGGAGGACATG